ATGTCATGCTGCCATGGGGTCTCCCAAAACCATAGCACATACTCTTCCCTGAGCATTTCCTAGCCCACGAGGAAAGTAGTAGCCACAAAAACCTCTCTCTAGAGATATTTGATCCTACCATTTTCATGGCAAATGTCCTGGAAAACGTAACTGAACCAATGTACCAAAATAATAGTTTCCTCAAGGTGCCTTTTTTTAAACAGGCCAGTAATTTTTCACTCTAAAATCTTGTCCTGGATCTGAATGAAACAACTTGTTTGGAAGCTTCGAGATACCATGGGTATGAAAACAGCAGTGTATTCACATTGCCTGTTTATGGCACAAGTCTTAAGAACAAAAGCAGAGACGATCTCTCAAAAGGAACAACTATTTTGAAGAGAGAAATCCGTGGCACCCTGACAAGGTCAACAAGCTTGTCCCTCACGCCAATGTCACCATCCAAAGCAGCAGGAAAAGTGTAAGGAGGAAATCAGACTTTTCAAACACAACGATATTTACTTAATAGGATCTATAAAGATGAAGTCCTTCATACTATCCCTTAAGTGTAATGAGAACCAGTTACTTCCAAAGCCTATTAAATTTGTAAGCAACTCAAACATTAGACTTTACCACCAATTATTTGCATTATGCACACACCCACCGCACACACAAGTTATATGCAGCTGGGATCTCTTTCTCATGCTGGTCAAAAGCTGGCCAACTTCACCTGTCCTTAACTTCCACTGGGACAGAGTTTCTTTCACTGGTCCCACATGTACTGCACAGGGTAAAGTACTCACTGGTGTCTGTCTCTGTTCCCTCTCTGCCCCGCAAAGCAGTTAAACGTGACAGAACATCACACGGCAACTCCGTTACAACAATTCCTATTGTATGGACTTGTTCTGACCCACATTTCCAGGGTCAAAGGTTCTTGTCAGAGTTTCAAGATCAGGGCAGTAAATATTGCACAAACATAGAGGGGAGCATAAAGACTGTGTACTGCCATAAATACTGGGGGAGGTGCAACCCAAAATACACACTCGTCATCTGAAAACATGTATCAACATACGTACCTAAAACTGAAGCCTTTCCTCTCGCTACATATGACTGTGAGATTTAACATTACACTCATTAAAGTCACTTTTGCAAACATTATTTCATAAATTATAATCAGTTTACCTTTAATTGCAGTATCTTTCCCCTCGTTACCTGCACTTGTTTCTGCCCCTCTGATGGAGATTTCCATTTTAAGTATCCTGCAGACAGTGTTATAACAGAGCGGGACATGTCTCTGGAACTCATTTGCAAGACAGTAGAGGAATATGATTTAAAAAGAAATAGAAAAAAATATGAATTTTAGATCAGGATCCTAATCATCGGCATTTTAAGTTGCTACAAACTCAAAACTGTCTCGTCTTTTGACTGGAAGCACATAAGAAGCCTTTCTATTACAAAGGTTAATTTAGCAAACCCACAAAAAGATTTGACACTGTAGCAGTAGCGTGGTGCTCAATATAATCCTTTATAAAGAATTAAAATCCGTAAGTAACTACAGTCTTCTCTTTCAAAATATTGAGGCTAATCTTTAACTGAATCAGTTGACCTAAAACTTCTATATTGGGCCACATGTCTTTCACAAGAAACAGATTATGCATTTGGAGGGGATTGTATTCTCACAGTCCAGGGACCGTTTCATATCCTTCCGCCGTATATTAGGAATTTCTGACCATCCCTCAATCCTGGTTTACCTGGCCCACCTCATTTTTCCTTAGGCTGCCGGTCCATGATCCGTGCAGCAAGAAGTTTTGGTACCCCAGAGTTTAATGGAAGGCTGAACCTCAAAGCAAACTCACCCCAAAATGGATGCATATCACGGGCCATTCAGTTCAAGCACCACAGTGGCTGTCTCCTTTTGCACTGGACTTACATCAAGACTAAGATTAGCATCGTGACTTTCAGTTATTTCTCTTAAAACTGTTTCGGTATCCAATAGAAAATAGCTTGGATCCTTTCAGTTTTTCCATGTCCCCTCCTGGAGTTACTGCGACCTCACCCTTAAAATTTAGGGGCCCATGGCAATCCAAGTGCCAGTTTTCAAGAACTACTTAAAATAGGTATTTGTCAACAGGACATTAATACACCATCACCAACCAGAACACGCACTCAGCAACTTTCTCAGTCCAACCCACTAAAAACACAATACAAAAAAAAAAAGAAATCAAACCAGAAAATTCAAGTGATGCAAAAATTTTTGGTCTTAAATTTCCTCACATTACATTCCAGAGTTCAACTGCTTCTCCCGAGAAGTGAAATGTGTTTCATTTTCTGTGATAGGATTTCCCATAGAAGGCAAACTCCGGGCACTGTGGTCTTAGACCAGATTTGCAGCCAGAAACACGACTGGCCTGAAGAGACCCCCATTCAAGAGGTGGATTTCCCTGACTGTCTGGCTGCAGCACAAAGCCCACGGCAGCCCCTTGTTTAATGAGCTGATCGAGGGTGACCTCTTCTACTGATGAAGATACTAAGGGAGCTCTCATCATTCACCAAAATTCTTGGTAATGGATTCAGCAAGGGAGAAAAGTACTGATGGCTTTATGGGCTTCCTCAGGGATTCTGCAAGGATCTCTGGGGAGATTTGGTTTTCTCATTCTCACAAAAATTATGATTAATCTGGAAAGAAGCAAGCCACCTCCTCCTATACTTAGGGTAGAAGCGCATGCTTCAGAATGTGTCTGAATCAGCACCAAAAAAATCGTAACTAAAACTCCTACCCTCCTTACAGTGAATTTCCTCAGGTAAATACTGTCTCTAGGTTTTTGACTAAAATGCTTCATTCGTTTGCATTTCATTGCCAGTAATGTACTCATTTGTTACTCAGAGAAGTGTCACACAGACTCCTAGAAGTTTCTAGGCGTTGTAGCCTAATTCTGCATCCACCAGTAGGCACCAAGAGCCCATCTCAGGTCCCGGGTGAGCATAGCAGGCTTTCCCTGCTTGCTGCAATTAGAGCAGGATTTGCCTTTCCCAGTATATCTGAACTGTTTCTCTTTCATCACAAGCTCTTCTGAAGGTAGGAAGTAACTGCTGGTAGCCTGCAAGTACCACTGGCCAGAAATTGCTCAAAGGTTTCTCAGAAAATTCACTGTAGCAAACAGGTGACAAAGAGAATTTCAACTCAAACAGGTCAAATATCACAAAACTATAAACAACTGAAAATCAAGCCACAAAATAATCAGCCTTTGGCACTTAAATATCAAACCCAAAGGCACCATAACCTGCTCTTTCCACACTCCCTACCTGCAGCCAGGTAGAAGTGCACCATTTCTTTATTAAAAAGGTCTATATTTCTAGATCTTTTTGTGGTGCTTATTCAGACGGGATGTGATGTATTCCTGCTCAGAAACATCCAGATGGAAATACAGAAGACACCTCTGGCAAGTGCTATATTACTAACCTGCCTTACTTTAATACCTTCAACAAGCAACATACTTTTAAAACAGCAATTGAAATACAAATACACGAATTTATTCATTTA